TGTAATGTTAAGACTAATGATATTGTTTATGAGAACTGGCGCCAGGAAGTCGCACGCCACGCGGAACTCGCGCGCTGCCAAGTCCGGCGGAGGCTGCCATGGAAATGCGAGGCTCGTTCACGCAGCATGCGCCGGCCGTGGTCGACTTCCCGTCGTTGTAAAGTGATTATGTAACCGTAAATACTAAAAGCAGGGTTTCTTATACATAAAAAAAGCAGTGGCGCACCGCCCTTGTCAAATTTAAAATCACGCCACGTAACTCTGACGCCGTGTTTGGCACGAGACGTGGGATCGAGGTGTAACGACGCGTACCTTGCCCGATGAGGAAGCAGCCTTGTGTTTTCTAGACTTCTTCGTGACTTTCGTCTCCTCTTCGCTCTCATTGTCCTCCTGATCGGACTGAAAGCAGACAAGGATACGGAACAATCAGTTTTGCTTGTAATCAGATCAGCTCAGAACAATCTCCATAGCAACAGCACCTTGCAAAAGGTCTTCACAATTTCACCAAAGAAATTTGTTGAAAAATTGTTAAAAATTAAAAAATCATGTAATAGATTCCAGTGAAAATAACCACATCGGCTGGTGCCCAAATGGATGAGGGTACAGATGAAGGTACAGACAAGTTTCGCTTCCCACTGTTCAAAAATGACTATTTTTATACGGCTCTGCACTGTCGTTTACAGGAATCGTGCAATTACAAACACTCACCTCTGACCCTCACCGTCTCACGCGCCAGATCTTAATGATTAACGACCCGGATAATCAACGGCGTTTTATTAGCGCGGCCCTACGCATTGCATACCGTGAATGCAGCAAACACACACACACATGGGTAATCGCATGCGGAAGTCCCATCAGATCTGGGTTTTTTTTTTAATGCATCATCAGTTCGTTTACGACGCACGCAGTGGCGTCCGAGTCTGGGGCGTGGCACGCGAGGAGAAACAGCTGCAGCAGCTCAACCTGCCCACGCCTACATCGCAACACGCCATGTGACCTTCACCACGCGCTATTCTCGCAGACGACTAGGTTTCGTAATCTGGCAGTTGCCTTGGCATGTTGGTCATTTCAGGAGGAGAAGTCGACTTAGACTAGACTCCAATCACAGCATGAAAACTTACTACGATTATACCAACATACGTGCACACGCACACGTCCATACACACGCACGCACACACAAACACACACACACGCGCCCATGCTCATACATACACACGCATGCGCACACATGCCCATACACACACGTGCATGCACACATGCCCATACACAGACACCAGGGTGCGAAATTAACGGGAGTCCGTAGTCAAATACTCCCTGATTTACTGTCGGACTCCCTGATTTGACACATGCAGGAGTCCGTGTGACTCCCTAAAAATTCTGCCATTCTATACTAACTAGTAGTAGTTTGTCCAGCGCAGGGCCTCGCGAAATTACCGTATTTTTTCAGCAAATGTCCAAAGAACATTTGGCAGACGTGCAACTGCACGAATCTTCAAAATAAGCATGTGTTATTGTTAATATCTTTTATTTTGAACTTCAGACTGCAGACTCCCTCTTTTTGAAGGTAGGGACTCCCGTGTTCAAAAGTCAATTTATACCCCTGGACACGCACACAGCTAGTGTGAATGTAAACTTTTGCGCTACGGTACAAACACACGACGCTGTAAGCTGCAAACTGTGCGCTTCAAATGGCCAGTTTACAATCACTAGTGCTATTAAATCTGATATCCTTGGATAGTGATAACCCCCCCCCCCGATCGTGCATGTATCCGACGAAGTGCAAACCTTGTGTGCTGCTTTTGTCCTCCGTGAGCTCTTCTTTGGCTTCGCTTCCTCATCGCTTTCCAGCCCATCCGGATCCTCCTGTGCAGCGGCAGCAGCAACAACATCCTAGATGGTTAATTATAGTCTATTAGCAAGGAAGCAGGTGAGGTGCACGTCGATCACATGTAAGCGAGGATGGCGATTCAAAACAAGAAATTAAATGCGGACCCTCGGCTTCCGCGGCCAAACCAAAACCACGCAAATTCCGCAATAATTACTCGTTGCATGCAAGTTATGACACACCTGCTATTTGCCCTTTAGTGGTTACAGCTGAGTGAAGCAAACACACTTGTAAGACGTTAACGAATTAATCACATCGTCCAACTGCATTGCAACTTGTTTCCACAACGGAAGACAAAATATACTAGAGCACATATGAATGATCATATATATATATACAACCACATGCTCTCAGACCTGGCCTGGTCAAAAACCACAACAATGGTAAAAGTAGTTTGCAGAATTTTGCCACTAACACATATACAGGGAGTTGATACATGTGGGTATACAAAGGTTAGGATTTCCTGTTCACAAATCCATATATGGGCTTTAATCAACTTTACTAGAAATTCACAAACTTGACTTATTATCGGGATACAGCCATGTGTAGTAAATGGTTTACACTTACAGCCAATAACTTACATAGGTAGAGAAAATTCCAGTTGGAATTTTATTTTATTATTAAATTATGCGGTTTTCTAGTAATTATGACTTCATAATCAATTCCATTTAATGATTCACACATAAATACGATGCACATCATAAGTCTGTTTAATCTATCAACTTTTGTTTAATGAACCCGCACAAATTAGTGGTGGTGATGGGTGGTGGAGGTAGTGATCGCAATATCTCTGTGGTAGTTAGCCCCATCAGCTTCCCACATTTGCTCTGAACACCTAACCCTGCTCAACTATGTCTTCATGTGCCGACACAAGGCTTTAAACATCGAAGTTACGCGGAGTGCGGGCGCAGTTTACAAACGTGCCTCGTCGCTTTCTTCAACTATCTTGCGTTTCTTCGATCGTGCCGATCTCCTCGTCTCCTTCTTCCTCCTCTTCCCTTTGTCGCGATCTCCCCAGTCAGGGTCCTCATCTGGCAAAGCAACGGACATCGAGAAACATTAGGTTAGGGGACACAAAATAGTGCACTCGGCAAGCCTGTCACCAAACCCAGTCACCACTCATCACCCCTGTCACTTACTTTGGGTTAGGACCCTGTCACCAACGTTGTAACCTACATGGTCATCAACCCTGTCACTATACCGTGTCACTTACCCTGTAACCAATATCATCACCTACCCGCCACGAACCCGGTCGGCCTATGGACGCAGGCACGTAACAGTCACCAACCCTGTCGAGATAATGCAGGCACCTAACCGTCACCAACCCTGCCGACATGTGAATGCAGGCACCTAACCGTCACCAACCCTGCCGA